ATGATTTTATGCATGTGTCATATTCGCGTTCATATTCTTCGGTTTCGAGTTCAGGCAATTCAGACGAGTTTTGTGTTTTTTTCATTATCAACACTCGGTGCGGGTTCGATTTCTGAATGTAAACATGCAAAGCAATTAAATCGATGATGAATCACTGTAAATAAACAACTTACGTTCGGCATTTGCGGCTTCTGTATCGGGCTTATCGCTGTGAGTTTCATGTGAAACGTTTTCTGCTGTCGAATAGCGATAATCGAAATTAAATTCACTACCGAAAAATCATCACAAAGGAACAAACTATACTTACGATTTCCTTCGTCTGTTTTTTCCTTTTGCACAAAAAATCTTTTTAAACCTTTAATTTTGTCACTATTTTGCGACATTTCTTAAACTTATTCTTAACAAGTACGAAACAATTATGAAATTCGAAATAGCTACTGAAATAAATTGTCAAATGTTTGAGATTAACAATAACAAACTTGCGCCGAATAACACTTGTGTCGCGACTCAAAGCACCGTTAGTAATAATTACAGCATCGTGAAAATACTTGCAGCTACTTGCTCAGTATTCAGTACCTCAATAAATATGAAAATTATGCCAATAATTATTCGATCAATATTTAGAGTTTTTGCTGTGTGATACAATGCTCGATGCACAGTTTTCTATACATACACATAATTCATGACAATACAAAAATACAATTACAGCAACGATTTTCGCTGATATGCAGCACTTCGTACTCAATACATTTATTTATTTATTTATTTATTTATTTATTTAACACCGCCAAAAACTGGCTGAATATTTTGGTTTGCAGGAAAACGACTCCAAGAGTCGTGAAAAACCTGATCTTTTTGTGTTTGTACAATATATGGTAATTTTATACAATAAGTAGTTGTAAGTAGGGGTAAGTGGGGAATTGTTGACCATGGGGAATTGCTGACCACGTCAGTTTCTCTGACGTTTCAAACACTTTTGACATATCCGATGCTTGTCATCGTCTTGTTTTAACCTAAACTCAATTTCTAATTGGTAGTCAACGTGATCGGACGCATTATATGCTGTGTACGCTATCCAAGTGAATTTTTATATCGAAAAATCAATCTAATTATTTTTGTTGGTGATTGTTTTAAGAAGTTTTGTGCAGATATTTGCCAGGTAATTATTCTAATTTTTCTCGTACGGCAATGCTCTACCGACGCGCAAAATAATTTTCCATAGTCAATGCATGTACATTGCTTATGCGACGCCATTTTCTCAACATATATGTATGGGGAATTGTTGACCACTTTTTGTGGGGAATTGCTGACCACGGCATTTCTTGCATTGCACGTGTCAAAATCGCATTTTATGAACATATAGTGTTGTTTTGATGCAAAATATCGACGAATAATCCACAAAATATATTTTGATGGCATTTTAAAAAAAAATTTGTGCTATTTTTTCAACTTTTTTTGGTTTTTTGATATTTTGAAGTAATCATGCCGCCTATGACACCGATGCCGCGTTATTATGCCAATAAAGGCTCATCAATCGATTTTGACGCTCTTTTGGAAGGCATCAAGGATGTGAAAATAAATAAACATTCAATCCGTTCCGTGGCTGATCGAATGGGAATCAGTCATAATACCTTGACGCGCTACGTCAAAATTTTGGATGAAGCGAATTTGGATGTTAGGAAGACGTTGATTTCTGCATCATATGCAAGAAGGATTTGCCAAAAAAATTGAATCGGAACAACAGCATCAATTGCAACGAGTGCGACCGACCCGTTCACCTGAAATGCGCTCGTATGACTGGCGGCTATTTCACATGCCCCAACTGTGTATCGGAATGATCAAAGTCGCCATTTTTCGATTTTTTCTTTAAGATTCAATCCAAAATGTCTTTAAAATTCATTCAATAAAGTTTTTTCATCATTACTTTGCATAATAAATCGAATTTGAAAGTGGTCAGCAATTCCCCATGATTTTTGAAATTGTCAAAATCGCATGTTTTGGAAGCAGGGCTATATCTTTTTCACAGGATTGAATTTTAACAAACCAATAAGACCAAATGAAAGCTTAAAGGACGTACTACAACTTAGCATTTTGAAATTTTGAAAAAAAAATTATTTTGAGCACTCTATCTTGGCCACAAAGATCGTGGTCAACAATTCCCCACTCTCCCCTAATAGTCTTTTTCTATTGGTATAACAACTTGGTCTAAAAAGCATTGACACAAGATAACCTAACCAATACATGGAAATGCATAGGTAGCCGAAATGTAAACGGTCTAATATAGCCTAACTTAAACGTGTAAAAAATGAAAGACTAACTGAAGCGTTAACACTGTAGTGACGGCTCTAATGACTGCAAAAGTCATCATTCAATTTATCAAGAGGTGATACATTGAAGAAAAATTTTACGTCTAATCTAACAAGTCCCGGTTGGTAGTTATGAATTTGTAATTTAGTAGAGACCGAAAGACATAAGAAAAAAAAAATTACAATACTTGCAAATAC